TGAGCCTTTGTTTTCCTGTTCTGCTGCATAGAAAGTTACACATCGCCTAGACAGGCTGTTGACATCTGGTCTCAGAAAATGCATTAGATGTTGTCATAGATCTAAAAAACAAAGTTGTGGAAAGGAAGCTGTTTGCTTAAGGTTTTGGCTTTTTTTTTTTTTCTGTATGTGTGTAATAATTCCACTTAGACGCAAGCTGGTGGGGCCAAATGTAGTTCTCCGGTAGGTTTTTGTCAAGTGAGATGTAGGAAATTAAACTAAACAAATCTTACTTATCTAGGTCTTTTTTTTGTTTATATCTATGAGTGCACATTCTCATAGATTATTTTTCTTTTCCCCTAATTGCTGGTATGAAGACTGGTGACAGACAAAATGATGAACAAAACCTTCCATTCTGAATGTTTTAAATGGTATAATGAACTGGGAAAATAATACTTATTTTTTAGATTGATTTTTAGAGATGATAGTGACAATTTTCACCCCTGTAGCTTCAGTGTACTTCAATTTTTCATACTGAACCTACAAATAAAAATTTAATGCTGACTTTAATATTGCTGGGGTTTTACTGATTTGGAGGTCTCTGTTCTCATTACATACTTATGAGGGGATAGTGCTTTTAAAGGTGGTTGAACTAAAACCTGGGCCATCAGCATTTGAGTTGTGAAATATGCGTCAGCAGTCACAGTACAGGGAAATGCTGATTAGTTCTAGTATTTCTACCTGCATGTCTCTCTGAATAGAAACATACGACTTTTAATCTAAATGTGTTCTTCGGGTTTACAAGATCATAAGTTTCATGATCAAAAAGCATTTGGTGCTTCTCCCTGCAAAACACAAGTCATGCATTTTTCTTTGGGATGCCTGGTGCCACCTTAGCTGCTTCTTGCAGTCTGGTTTGAAGAATTGCCTTTCTTGCATAAAAAGCCTTTTGGGTTTTTTTTAGTGATTTCAGTATTGCTATTCACCCTTTCACTGGTGAGAGCTTCTTGGTGGTGGTAAACAGCTGCTTTCCACCAGGAGGCTAAATGCATTTCCAGTGGTGGATGAAGCGCTCCTTTGTAAACAGTTTGTCAGTATTCTTGGAAATCTACAAACAGAAAAGTTACTTGCAGTGTGATTGTGATGTTTTAAATTTTGAGGCCAAAAGTATGATGTGTTCTAGCTTGAACACCTTCCTTTAAAAAGGCTACATTTGGCTCTGCACTTGGTAAAATCTCTCCCACTGCACCAGCCACTTCTCCATGTTCCAGAGGAATGCTTGTATTGCTCAAGTAAGCACAAAGTTCTGCAAGGCACCAAGGGGAGGACTGGCATACTCACAGTGTGTGGCACAGAATCAGACTGACCTGTGGGAGTGGCATGTGGGAGCTAGGTGGGTCCAAGTTGTCTAAGGGGTTTGGGCATGCCCTTCTGTGCCTTGTAGCACAAAAGGAAAGAATCTACATGTATTGTATTCTGTATTTCTTGCTTGCAGGAAGACAAGTGGCAGCACATGTTTAAGCCTGTTTATATAAATGGACAAACTGCAGTTTTAGTGTCATCACTTTGTTTTTATACCTGTAGGGAAGTAGACAAATTTTCACATGAGGTGTTTGGTGAATTTGGGTGACTTGTTAGCAGGCTCACTGTATAAGGTAGACACTCACCAGTGCACCGTTGCATTCACCTGAGCTGCCACATAGATAGCAAGGCTAGGCAGTTAGCTTTACTTCTTCACCTACCCTGTTTCACATTGCGCACGCCTTCTAAGCTTCGATCTCCCAGTCCCTCTCTCTGCACATGCACATATGTAATGCAATACCTTGGGCCCCCAAATCTTCAGATGATGTTGATAAAGTGAACTAAAAAGTAATTCAGAAGTAGAATGTAAGGTAACAACATGTCCTTCAGTCAGGAATGCTAGGTAAGGTCAGAAACTGGTTCAGGTTACCAGCTCCTCCTTTACTGTGTTTCATTCAGAACACAGTCACTTCATCCCTCTGCCTGCAGAAGCTTCGTCTTTCTGGTGTCTTGCCTGGCTAGGGATGTGAACTGAAATTCTGCTTGTCTCTCTGCAGGGTGTGATTGTGGGTCTGAAACTTGGTCCTTATCTCTGAAACACAACTGGAAAAGAGGATTTAAAGATCCCTTACCCACTTTGAGTTTTACAGGGCTAAGACAACCTAGCCCTTTAAATTCTCATACAATAATATTAAATTCTTCCTTGCCAAGGGACCCCTCAATGGTCTTATTCAATAATGAAACCTAGAACCTGTGCCTGCTAAATTCAGTAGCAGATTTTTCTTGTCCTGAGGAAGTCTGTTTGGGCTTTTTCTGCTTGGATGTATTTTCATTAAGGCACAGCAGAGCTTACTTCCAGTATTTGTCTCTGTGACAATCCCAGATGAGAAGGCATTTCTGCAATGTCTAGATTACACATAATTTTAAAACAACACCTACTGGGAAAAGATGTTTTCAAACCAACATGATATAAGGACATATTAATTGTTTTAAGATGACTGCTGTGTTGCTGTTAGCAAGAGAAGCAATGAAGAATGACCTCTTAGTATTTCAAATTAATAAAGATAAATTTTTTTTTTATGTGTCCATGTTTTTAGTTAGGGTTGGGTTTTTTTCTTTTCTTAAAGAGACTCTGCTGTTCTTGAAATAATGTAACTTTAGAATGTGAATTACTTCATTAAAAGCTTGAAGTAAGCTTCTTTTGTGTCCTTAATCCAGGCACATGTTTTTCCAAAGGCTAAAAATTGCTAAAAGGTGATAGAATCAGTCACCCCAAACACTCAAATCCTGCCCTGGATGTATTTTATGCCTACTTCTATCTCATTTGTTGTATTTAAACAATGCTTTAAGGAGAAGAAAACATATCATTGCTCTGTAATTTCGGCACTAAAATGTTTTCTTTTGAAGTAGCTCTGCTTAGCTTGTAAAAATACTTGTGGGTCTTAGTCAAGCATTTAGTACAATTTAAAACGGCAATGCTAAATTTCATTGGTTGGACTTTTTATTAGATAAGGTAGAAATGAAAGCAGCAGGCAATTTAATTAGCAGTAATTTTTCTGGGCAAGTCATTACTTTGATGAACTTCAGAGCAATGTTTATGGCTCCTAATTAACCATGTTAGTCATTTGATTGAATAATCACTTTGGAAATGTTTCTACAATTTGATTAGAGTCTGACCCACTCTGATAGTCATAAATTAACTGATAGCACTTTAGGATAACAAGGCTGTAGTTACTTTACGAGAAATAAACTCTTCCTTGCTGTATTTTTTGGTCCTCTGTGGGCTGTTTAAGCACAAGCTAACCAGAAGATTAAGTAATGTTGGTACAAACAATGTTTGCCTTAAAAAGACTCCAGATGTTAATTATAATTGACTTAGAAGCATGGGAGATGAAACCCCAAATTGGCTAAGAACATAACTTCATGGATGTGTGCCTAATTCTCTATTCTGGGTACTCTGCTGTATCACTTTGCAAGAGTGGAGTTCATGAGTCAAAAAGGGTTTTGCTGCCAATACTAGTGATTTTTTTACCTAAAATAGAAAGTAGCATCTGTTTCAGTTCTACGACTTCCTCTTTTTTTTACGTAGATTTTTCCATTCTCCTTAACATTCAATCTACTTGTTAACATGAGTGATTCCTTGCAGGTGAACCACTACTTAATAGCCTTGACTTCTAGTCGACAGAGCTATACTTGACTTGCGTGATCACTGAATCACTTATTCCTGTGGCTGCTCAGAATAGCTGCCTGGACGTTAGAGTTTCTCAGGGCCTGAGGAGGCAGGCACTTGGCGTTTCATTGAGAGAGGAGGTAATGAAGAGTTCAGCACAGATATGGAAGAGAGACCGTGGACTGTTAGAGGAAACTTATTATTACTGCCCTGTGTTTCACTTGTTTTGTGAAGTCAGTGTAAAACCTCATTTTCTTATCCTGCCAGATCTTTGATACTCATCACCAGTCAGTGAACAGTGAAATTTGGAATCACAGTCTGAAAGAGTCTGTAGGCAGTGTTGGAAAAATAGCGTCTGCTCTTTCGACCTCTGTTTGCATCTCTTTAAGAGTTACAAGTTACTGGTAACAGATTGCATAGCTCAGGGTAGGAGTTTATCACAAGATCAAATAGACTTTGTTAAGCAGGACTTCTGATACCCAAGAAGTGGTTTAAACGTAGTCTAGAAGAGCAAACATTTATGGCGTATTTCTGTTTGCAAGTCCCAGTGCACAGGATGTGGCTACTTGGATACAGCGCAAGACATGGGTTAAAAATGGAAAGACATTTAAAGTACCCAATTTTCATTAGTTCTGTCTGTTTTTTTCTAATAATTCTTGCCGATTTTAGTAAAGGTGCGGAATGGCAAATAGATGTCTGTGTTACTCAGAATGTGCACAGTAATTTTTTTGGGTGTGTATGCCTTTTATTTGTTTAAGGGTGTACGAGTGGAGGGTAAAATGGATGAATCTGAATTCCTAGATTAGCAATAGCAGAAAATTTCATTAACCCTTTAAATTCCCTAAACAGATTCTAAAAATCAATATCCTGTGAAAAAGTCCCTCTGACGTTCCTTGCATTAATGTAGAGTTTGTAAGTCTCCATTGACAGGCAGCCTGTTCTGTGTATTTGATTAAAAATGTTAGGTCACATTAGTTACATAGAAACACAAGTATAGGGTTTAAAATATTAGGAGTCTTCTGTGGATTTTTTTGGTCTGTGAATGGTCTAAAATGTAATTGTCATGGGTGTCAGCTTTTAGCAGTGTTAATTAGAGTAAAGCTTCAAGTTCAAGTGCCAAAATTAGATGGGATCTGTGATCCTCACATTATGATTTCCTCTTCTGCCATGCCTTGTGCATGCTGCTCTGAAATGCTGTGTGTTGACAGGTTTCCCCGTGCTGTAACTTGCATCCTTTTTGTTGCTCTTCTGCCTGCAGCCTGTCTCACTGATAACCTGCACACTTTTAATTACAGACAGTCTTTTGATTAGTATTGTCGTCTTCTTTCAGAAGTGCCTAGCTGCCATTCCATTTACATGAGGCAAGAAGGCTTCCTGGCTCACCCAAACAGAACAGAAGTTAAGTTTTCTATTATGTATTGCTTTTGTATGAGAGAAATGTAAAAAATTAAAAAGCCTGGAGGGATTTGGGGTTCATTGGTTTAATTCTGCTGCTGGGAAGACTCGCACCATCTTTCTTTCCCTTCCCAGTTTTGAGTTTCTGGTGAAATTATATATTTTTTGTTGCTTCATTTAGTGCCACAGGTTGATCAGGGTAGAGGCAATTTTTTTATGAATTTACTCACATTTACTCATTTACTCATACTCAATTTACTCATTCTGCTTTTCAAGGCTTCTAGCAGTTGAAAGGAACAGACACTTAAAAATTTGTCCATTTCACCCATTCTGGTGAAGTGATATTTTCCAGGCTAGTGGTGTGACAGGGACAGGCTCAGTTAACTGTTAAGTAATCCATTTTAGACTTCAAATTTAGTGACAGTTTTTGGCTTTTCCTTCTGTTACGATTTTTGCAGTGTTTTGGTGCTGCTTAGGCTCATATTGTGCAGCCGTGTAATACATATCAAAACTCTCAGTGACTTCAGTAGGGCAGAGCTGAGATCACTGTCAGAATTAATAATTCTGACTTAAAAGTGCTTTAGATGTATTAAAAATCAGAAGGCTAACAGAACTAATTAAAAATAACTACTGAAAGAGAAGTGGTACCCCCCACTCCCCTGCTTTGGTGTATCTTTCTTGCCAATATAGGATTTTTTGTTTGCTTGTTTAAAGTTTGTTTGGTTTTATTCCATGGGGCAAATTTCACAAACATGAGAGGAATTGGTTTTCAGATTGGTGAGAGTTCAGACAGATGTATGAATCAGAGTTCTCTAGTAAGACTTCATTCAGAACTGGAAAGATAACAAATCTGGCTAAAAGCCCAGCTGCTTCTGGAATGGAATAAAGGCAGAAATAAAAATACAAAGTAGTGTTTAACAAGGAGGGTGAAACAGGGGATGGAAGTTTCTAACAGTCTTGGTGTATGAAATTACATGAAGTATAGAAGCTTGATAAGGGAGGTGAAAGACATCAGGGAAAGTTCCACAAACTGCAGGTCTAAGGTCAATAGGTTTGAGTTTTAATCACAGCACAGATTGTTTTTCCCCTATCTTAGCCATGTTGTGCACTTGTAGGTGGTGGTAAAAATATTATGAATGACATAGAAAAAACAGTGATGTTTGATAAATATTTGGGTTTTGTATTTGGAGATCAGTCAACATGATTTTACGGAATAAAGGTCATGTCAGGTCTGATTCTACTCTTTGCTGAGATTAAACATTTGATTGATATACTTGTATTGTATACTTAGACTTTTTATGGCATTCAATTTGCCACTGCATTACATTCTGATTAAGAAGTTAGCACAAAACAGTATCAATAAAGTACACATAAAATACATTAAGACCTGGCCAACTGACAGATCTAAAAGTGGCTGTCACTGGGCAATCATCTCTGAATGGATTGTTTCTATTATAGTTCTGTAGGAATTGATATCAGGCGTGTTGCTATTCAACATTTTCAGTAAAGATAGGGAACAAAGTTAATAGATAACTTTATGGCACAGAGGTAGGCAGAGTGGTAAGTAACGGGCAGGACAGGGCAGTCACACAAAGCAGTTTGAATTGTTTGGTAATCTGGGCACATTAAATGATGTTCTTTTAATATGCTTGAATGTAGACCAGGCCTATGGAACCAGGAAACAGTATACTGGAAAAAATGAGTTTGAGATGGGCCTCCTCCTTCTAGGCTTCACAGTGGGAAACCAGCCCAACCAAACATTGCAACCGTATGGCAGAAAAGCCTTCTGTAATATTTGCACAGGCAAAAGGAGGGTCATAGGGTGGCAGGACAGGAGGAGATGTTTTGTCTTGCTAAGTAGCACTGATGGGGCTGAAAACTTGCATGCAGTACAGTTCTGGTTAACCAAAGCATTAAAATAATACTGAAAAGTGAGAGCGTGTACTGAAGAGAGTGCTAGAAAGAATGCAGGGTTACAGAGAGTGTCTTTTAACAACAAATTAAATTTTACAGAGTAATCTTAATTGGAATAAACATCGAGACAGGGTGTGACTTCTGTGAGTGCGAGGAGGAAATACCAAGTAGGGCTTTTTTAGTTTTGCAGGGAGAAGACCCGCAGAAACTAATGGTTAAAAGTCAAAGCCGTGCTAGTTCAAACAGGAAACAAACATTTTGGAATAAATCATAGAGAAAAATGGGTGCTTTTTCATTTTTGCAGGTGGAGATTAACAGTCTTTTGGGAATGTGCACATTAATTAAACACCCCTGTACTGTGGCCAAAATGTTGCGATTGGGCGGTGTGTAAAGGATGTGGGATATTAATCTGATTCCTCTGTGACTTAGTGTTCCCTCTGGCATTAAGCCTGTGATTTCTTTCTCCATGCATCTTTTATATAAACACCTCTCTTTCTTTAACTTACAGGCTGTATGTATGAAAAAGGACCGAGGCAGTTTTATGATGACACTTGCGTTGTTCCAGAGAAGTTTGATGGTATGTATGACACATCTCTCTCTCTTTTTCTTCTGTGGGGAGATGAAAAAGAAAGAGATGAGGGACTTTTCTCTGCTGCTGATCAAAAAACCTTGGTAACATTCCAGTTCAGGATTCCTTAACACACCATTTGCAGTGCGCCCAACCAAAGCTGACCTTTGTCTCTGGAAACCAAAGTCTTCTCTTCAATAGGATGTTGTTTGACTTTTGCCAGCGAAAGATGCTATATCCAGAGTTGTGGCAAAGGAGCTCAGTTCCTACACTGTTGTGAAGTAATAGCAGGATTTCCATTGCACTGATGATCACATACAACTTGTTGTTTGAGATTTAATGAAATCTGTTCTTACAATCAACAAAACATCACAGAAAGAAGCAGCTTTGGTTTTACTGAGAATTAAGACTCTTGTCTTGCTGTCTGTGAAGTGATGAATAGTGGGGAGTGAGTGTATAGGGCATTTTTGTGTTTGTGTCAATGTATTTGCACAAGATTAAACATTGTACTAGTGTTTTATTTTTCAGTGGGATTGATAACAAATCAATGATCTTTTTACAACACTGTCCATTACAACAGATTTTTTTTTTTTTTCAAGAGGGATTCTGAGGTCAATTAAAATAAATGGCCCAAATTATCCTCAATTACTCTGATGTAAAATCAGTTTCCTGGTGTAACTCAGTAGATTTCAGAAATATTTCATTATAGGCAAAGTAGATGAACTCAGTATTTCTTGCCAGTGACTCTGTTAGTCTGCAACTTTGGAAAGTAATTTGGAGACCCATTACTTAAATTTGATAGATTGGCTGCTTTTTGTTAGTATATGTCTGTCCAGCTTTATTTATTTTAGCAGGAAAGATTAGATACTTTCTGATAAACTTGGAACAGTTCTCTGACCATAGCTAAAAGTAGAGCTGGAAAACTCTTGGGGTTTTTGTCCTGCTTTATTTTATTTGTTTTTCCCTGAGAATCACTTATATGGATTAAAAAACTGATGTGTGTCTAGCATCATTTGTTGTGTTTGCTGAAGAATGGGAGACTCCAAAATGAAAGTAAGCTGAAGAATTACATGTTCCTCAAAAGGAGATACCATATGCATGTCAGGGTTACAAGAATAGCAAAAGAATAGCAAGAAATAAATAAAGGATTTTAAATAACTCTATACCTAACTGAAGATTGCTCAATCCGGTATTACTTTGTCACTGGATTGACACATTCACTGAAAGGGTGTTCTATTGAATGGCTACTTTATACTCTGGCTTTGGGATGTATGTTGGTTTAGTTTTAGTTTTTAGATTTCCTTTTTAAAGCACATCATGTCAGCTTTTTTTCCTTCCCCAGAAATGACTGTGGACTCGATCTTTTTTCGGTACCAGTGGAAAATTCATAATTACAGTTATGGGAATGGGATCAGATTTTGTACTGCAAGAAGTTAAAACTCTCCAGGAGTAGCATTTTGTCTATGTCTTGAAAATCCTTTTTGTTTGTTTGGATTTTGTACAGGGAAGGGAATGAAAATGGAAAAGCAATAAAAATAAAGTAAAAGACAGAAATGAATATTTGGAAATAATCTGAGTGCTTGCAAAGTAAGTAGTCTGCTGCTAGCTTCTATGACCGTCCATTGAGAGAACACCTTGTACTCTAGAAGACAGATGTGTTACAAATAGTTGTGTTTATGCTAGTAGCAAGAGGACTTTTGAGGAAAAAATAGCAGATGTATCATCATGTTTTGGCCAGTTAAGCAAAAGTGGAATAAGCTCAGGAGTAGACTTGATGTTTCAGAGGCAGATTCTCAGCTGCTTCATTTGAAATCAAAGATCAGCACAGGCAAAGAATCTGATCCTCTGTAACACAGCAGCAGCTATTTGTGCATTGCTCAGCTATCATTAAAAAAAATTCTGTCCTTGAAGAAGTAGGCCTTTCAGGACTGGAACTTGAGCCTCACATAAACCACAAAGCTTAGTGTTGATTTATTAGTTTTCCACAGCTATTGACTCAATTTTCTTTCCTGATTACAGAAGGAAGTGCTCCATTTTTAATAGTATTATTCTTTCTTTCACCACACAAAGCTGTTCCTTAATGGCCATCAGAGCATTCTAATGTTGTGGTCAAATGTGAAGTCGTGGTATTCTGTATTAAACAGGTCACACTGCTTATTGGGGGGGGAGGGGGGGGTGTTGCTGTTCTGATAGTTGAAATGAGGGGGTTTACCAGCGTATCATGAACTCGTGTCAAAGTGTGTAGAAAAAAAAAGTACTCTCTGCTTCAGCATCAGACCTTTTAGCTGGTTTTTGTTTGCATGAGTTGTTTAGTATGAATATGGTTGAAAAACAGCAGAGACACAGTATGGATGTATAAGGATGGTTTTTCATTGGCAGTTTGTGGAACAGCTAGCAGAATGTGATTGCTTTTTAAAAGCTTCCTCTGAACTTGAAATTTTAGAAAAATTAACTTACTGCTTTTCAGGACGAATAGTAATCTAGTATGTAGATATGAGTAAAAGGAATGTGTGATTATATGCAAGTCCAGTATGCCACAGAGGAACTCGCATATCTGCAGGATTTGCATACCTATACATAAAGCACATGCTGTTTAAGTCCAAGTCAAATACTTTGTCAAATTTTCCTTTGAAGCGTTTGCATGCAAAAGAAGTTTCTGTCAATAGGGTTTTGCAGCTTTATGAGGCACGCGTTGCATTTCCAAAACTGGGGCTTGTGTAAAGTGTAGTACACAAATGCAGTTCTTAAGACATCAGAGTTGCTTACAAAAATAGTTTGTGTTCTTACAGATAGAGGATGTTGCAAAATGGTTTGCAGGCAAGATTTGCATGTATCTGAAATATATAGGGATAGGCTTAGGGAGACTTCCATAAATCATGACTGAATTTAGGTACTTTTTGGTATTTTAATATGTCATTTTAAGAGTGTTTAACAGCAGGTAAGGGAATGTTGCATTTGTGGATGTCTGGGTAATAAGAATCCTTTCCCTCTGCTTTATTAACCCCAGTGATTGCTTTGCTGGTTTATCTGATGAGCAGAGTGCTGATGCATTTTGCGCATTGCTCATGGAACATTGTTGCTATTCTGTATAGGTGATGTCAAACAGGAGCCAGGCATGTACCGTGAAGGACCTACGTATCAACGGCGAGGCTCGCTTCAGCTGTGGCAATTCTTGGTAGCTCTTCTTGATGACCCATCAAACTCTCACTTCATAGCATGGACTGGCCGAGGCATGGAATTCAAGCTGATTGAGCCAGAGGAGGTAGGTTAGCTAGGCAGCATGCCCTGACATCCACTGCCCGATCCTGCAAATGTAATAGTGCCCCTTCAGACTTAGGCCTTGTTTTTCTTCAGTATTTTGCTTCGTAGCACTCTGGCAGGGTGATGATGGAAATGATTGACAAGGGAAGTATTTCAGTTAGGACAGAGTCGTGGTTAAGCATAAACTTGATTCCTGGTCGCACAAAATAATAAAAATACTGCAAGTGCTGGAGTTATAAAATACTCGGCATAAATTGTGGGGCCTGGATTTATCAGAACCACATCATGAATAGCCGTGTTCCAAAATCCTTTGACAACTTGTCGCTGAATAGTCTTTCAACACCAAATATTTTTCAATGTGAAATTGTGGGAACGTAGAACTTTTAGGAGATTAAGATTGTCAGGCAGTAAAATCCCATCAAAATTATATAAACTCTCCTCTTTTTTAGAGTCTTTTTCAGTTTTTCTCCTCATCTGTATCCTTAGGTTGTTTAGTGCATGCTTAGATCCTGGGCTTGCAAACAGTCATGCACATGCACAGCTCTCCTGAACCATGAAGGACTCGCTAAAATTATTTGTATTCATGTACATTTGCTGAAGCATGAGTTACTTCACTTGTGTGATGAACAGGAATAAATTGCACATTTTATTACATAAGCTTTTTTGGACTAGGTAGCATTGCATTATCTATCCTGTGATCTAAACAGCCATGGAAACCATTAGAAAAGCATGTGTATATGAATTTCATGGTAACACTGATTTGTATAATTTGATTAGGGTTGTCAAAAAGTAGTATCATTCTGGTTTAGTTTTTTGCACCTTGGACAGGTTTGAGTAATAGAGGAGACTGCAGCAAATTGTCTTTCATGATCTCTGAGCTAGAGCTGACTAGGAATGTTAGGGGGTGTAAGGCTACTTGTGTGTTCCACCAGCTATTTCTGCTGTTTGCCATCCATTTGCTGGCATAAGCGTCTGAAAGCTTTCTTGCATTTAAGTTACATCATATGCCAACAGCCCTAAGGGGATGATAGAGTAGTTGGGAATGGCAACAGCACTGATGGCCATTTTCTTCCTGACATGGTCTAGCAGAGGGGAGGTTGCTGGAAGCACCTGTGTGCTGGCTCTCGTCTGTCTGTGCATCCCCCGTGCTAGTGATAGTCCCTGTGGCAGATCCTGGCATTGCGCATCTGAGGATTTAACCACAGAACAGTCTTAGCTGATTTCCTACCAAAACTTTGCTGGCAAGACTGTAGCCTTAGCATCCTCCATGGTCTTCTTAGTCATGCGACCAGGCCCAGAACAGAGTGAAATCTTTGGAAAGGCTTTTGTGTGAGCTCGGTGTATGAGGTATCTAATTTTACCCCTTTCTCAGTATTTTTTACCATTTTTGTTTTGTCTGTAATGTATGTTCAAAGTTTTTCAAGACTGAAGAATTTCATTGAAAAATGGTTTCCAGCAGATGGTGCAAAAACTTTATAGATTTCATTAGCTCAGGAATGGAAAGTACCAAAATAAACCCCTAAGGTTTCCTTACTGTGTAATTCCCTGAAGAGCTGGATATTCTGATTTAAGTTAAACAGATCATCTGCTTGTTTGACTTTGTAGCAGTTGCTTTGTGTTTCTGAGCAGCACTGCATCCAAGATCTGGAGGAGGCAGGCTACTTGGAACTTGCCTCACTTTGGTATGTTCTTAGAGAGTACAAAGGGACCTAAGTTGTTTTCATATGAATGTCATGGATCTGACAGCAACTGTCAATTAAAATAAGAATAGCCAGCAGGAAGTTGCTGGCTTCTGTTGGTTGCCAGGTGTAAATTGAAGGGAAGTCAAAGAGCTTGTTGGTTCAGCTGTGGCAGGTTAGGATGTTAATGACATGACCTTTCCATCCCATCCCTTTCTGGAGGTTTGTGCCCTTGTAGAAAGGGTGACAACAAAAATGAATATATATCATCTCCCTGAGCACCATAGTTCATTCAGAAAGTAGGTAACTGCAGACTGTGGAGCTAAAAATTAGGTGTAGGTCCATTTATGCTGCTTTGTCGCAGGGACAGCAACCTTCGGCAGGAAGGTGGGATGGAAGGCTAGAAACCTGAAGGCCTTCCACAGCATTTATGAAATCTTACTCCGTGCCGTTCAGGGATAGGAAGACTTGCTTACCAAGATTGTTTCTGGACCTGCTTGCTTATTTAGGGATGTCAAAATACCACACAATATCTCATATTCTAAACCATTATTTTGTTGTTAGTTGTCTTCGCTGTGTATTGATTTGTCATGCAAGCCTGCCATGTGGACTTTTAGGACTCTGATTAACACAGAAAAAAAACCTTGGTAGGATAAACAAAGAGTGATGTGGGCATATGTTATAAAGATGAGTAGGCAGATCAAGGTTATGCATCTAGGCCAAATCTACAGCTGGAATAAATTGACAGGATTTGAGGTATGTTTCAATACAGCTATAGCATGGCTGGAGTTAGCAGGGCCTTGACAATGTATATAAGCCTGAAAAGCTGCACCACTGAAAGGAAATAATGCTTTCAAAAGAAATTTAAAAAATTATTGTCCAGACGGAGATCAAAGTCATGGATTTTGCTGTTGTTATTTAGTCCCCTTCAATTCTTAGTGCTGCATGTTGTCTGTGGTTTGCATCAAAAGGCTCCACACACCTGTGGGAAGGTTTTGTAGAGCACTCTGCAGAGAAGCTGCTTGGCTATTCTCTCATTTTTTCAGAGCTGTATGCATATGCACATCAAACATTTTTATAAAATGTGCTTTAAAGAGTTCATCATCTCTGACTTTTTTTTCCCTCTGGTGACGTGATAGTAATTTGTACAGCCAATAACTGAAATGTCACCAACAGCCTATTCTAGTTTCAGGTGGGAAATAAGCAGTTAAGCTCTTTAAACCAAAGGTCTCTTTGTCCAAAACTACCTTTGGTGAGAAATCAGGAAGTGTAAAGGCAAGTAGAAATCATAAGTTATATTGTTCTCTATGGAGCAGCTTCAGGAGTTGCTTGCAGCTCCCTTTTTATTCTTACTTTTTAAGGGAAATTATACAGATGCAACTGTGAGGTTTCTGTCCCAGTTTTCATACTACTATGTAGTTCTTCCGAGTGATTACCCCACCTCCTGTGGTAAACCACTTTCTTTGCCAAAGTAATATTTAAAACTGGGAGTTGGTGTTAGACTTGCATCTCCTATTAGTCTCGCTGTTGCTGTCATTCCAAGTACAGTCTGTATTAGTTCATGAACTAAGTGTGTATGCATGTGTGTTTCGTGTAACTTGGTCTTCTGACTACAAGGAAATCACAGGAATAGTAAAATTGCCCAGAGTATCAACCTAAAGAGCAGAATGCATCTTTTATGAAAGTTTTCTGATGGAACTTGGTAAATATTTTTTGTCTATAATCTCTTTGTATGTCTTTATTTTCTCGCTGGTTTTCTCTATTAAAACACAAGCACAACATCCACCCCCCACCCCCCCCACCCCCCCCCGAATCCTCTACCATATTTGCAAATAAGTAAGTCTGCTTCAAGTTTAAGGGATGACTCTGTGTCCAATTAAAAAGCATAGTAGTACATGGGAAATTCAGTTTGTGGCAACCTTTTCTCTTGTGTTTATTCCTTGCACCTGCAAGGTTCCCCTTCTTCCATACCCAAATAAAGTATCTAAGATCTGATTGTTAAATGCATTTAATGAATCAATGCTAATCCATTTTTGTGGCAGGTTGCACGTCGCTGGGGGATTCAGAAAAATAGGCCAGCTATGAACTATGATAAACTTAGCCGATCACTTCGCTATTATTATGAAAAGGGAATCATGCAAAAGGTGAGTAGCTAATTTGTATTAAATTTCACCAGTGTTGCATGTTAATCCACAACTCAGCTTATTAGGAGTACTTGTAACCACATTGCTTATGCAGATTTTCCTTCTATTTAGGCAAACACTGAGTTTTTTTTACTTACCAGGTCCAGGATATGCATCAAGATTTTTTTTTCTATATAAAAAATGTCTGTGGTTTTAGTTCACACAATGCACAAAATGCTTATAGGGAAAGAGGTGATATTCAGAAATATCCAAAAGAGGTTCCTGACACCTGGGAAAGGGAAACAGTAGAGTATGGTATGAATAATCTTTTGCAGATCTAAATTAGCTGCCCAACACTTGGGTACTTTGGTAAGTGCAAGATAGGGGAGAATAATGACACCTATTAACATACCAAATACTTTAATATTTTACCAATTTTGCTGTAATAATACCATTTTTAAGTGGAATTTAATATTTTATAATAGGCTGAACTATGAGAAATATTTAACAGTAATTTATATATGGTCTTGCTGACAGTATTCAAGCCGTCCTTCTACTGTGGCTTGCTGATTTACGTGTATGTTTTTAAATCTTGCTGTATATACTATGTAGATTGAGAAATCAATAGGAGAGAACTCTCTGCTGCATCTACAAAACTGGCATGTGTGATCAAAGATCATAATGAACACGTTGTGCTTGATCCGTATCTTTTCATATTAGTTTTGTGACCCATGATGATGTAACATGTTTGAACTTGCCATTTGCCCTGAATGGAAACAATGGTCTCTGCTCAAGTTACTGAGTAACTTTTCCTGTAGGTTTTGTGAAGTCTTCATTTGGAATTGCCTGTTACAATTTTTTTTTGCTTTGATTATGGGGTCATTGTAGTGCTCTCCTTCTTCACTATCCAGGAGTCAGCTTGAACGACAGTCTGGCCTGGTATTGATTTATGGTACTTCAGTTGCACAGATCCCCATCCATTTTTATTTGTCACCTAACTGCATTGAGTCTCTGTAAAGTGGACTGGAGACTGGGTCTGGTCAAGAGAAGCAGAAATGCTTGATTTTGCTGGGCAGTGTTCAGGCAGAGGGGTTCCTTGTAGCATGTTACAGCTCAGCTGCGTAGACAGTTGTGTGGGCACAGTTCAAAGGTAACATAGAGGCAAGAATAAGTAGCAGAGTGAAACAAGTTGAAAAATGTGGGGATGGGAATACCATAAGGCTGACAATGCTTCCCAACCCACGCGTTCATTCCATATGGAAAGTTTACAAATTCTCCTGACACATAGCTTACTACTTCTTAAACTACTTTACTATCTACATGAATATATTAACCACACGTTTTAAAAGGTATTTTAGATGCTTATTTTTCTAACATAGCAGTGCTTGAGGTTTGTCATGGGATCACCCTATCTGGCCAATTAGTATATGTTAGAAAGTAATGATGGTTGTAGATTCACAGTGGGTTTCTTTACTGCAAGGTTTATATGCGCATGTTTCCCCTTTTAAGTTTAGAAGTGACAACAGGTAATGCAAATGCCCAGTTTCTGAACTCAGCCATCAGGTTGTCAAGCTTGCTGACATGCCTTTGTTAAAAAAAATTCTACTGCAGATAAAGCCTCTACTAAAACTTTACATTATTTGTAGACTAAATTAGATGAAAATTTGAGGAGGTGATTCAGACTGTTTTCCACCAATAAGAACAGATTTAAGTTTGCAACACTTCTGCCACCTTCATTCACTCACTTCCAATGCTGTGCTAGCTAGAATTGCAAGAAGCAGACAATATAACCTTTATTTTAAAATAATCTTGATAAACCATGAGCATGCAGGTTTAGTTTTTGTTTGGATTTTTTGTTTTGTTTATAAGACCTGTATTGTTTTTATCATGGTTTAGCTTTGAGGAAGATGCAGCGCAGACATTTGGTGCTATTTCTGAATAAGGGGAAACTGTAGGATCCTTGGGCAAATTGTGCCTCTGTAAGCAAATCCAAATGTCCCAGATTTGCATGAGCAATTGCTAAGTACATATTAGCCTGCGTATTTGCTTACACTGTCCCTGTACAATCAGCATGCACTATAACTTAAGTGCTTTTATACGTAAGTATGAATCAATCTATGTAAAGTGAAATTCAGATCTCTATCATGCAATGTGATTCTTTTTTCCCCTTGCACACAGTGTGTTGGACTTAGTCATTTTATTTTGCCACTATAGTGACAATTTGTTTACATTTTCCAGTAAGAACAGTTCCATTTGTGGTTAAGTATAGGAAATGATTGCAAACAAGTGTTTAGAAGTAGAATACCTAGTCCGTCTTCCAACAGGATATCACGTGTGGCAAAATCAAGAGCACTCTGCACAGTCTGCTTCTGCAGATCCCTGTTGTCTTACTAGGTCGTTGCCTTACCAGTTCTGCTGTTGCCTTATTAATTGTATAATGAAGGTGGGTTCTTCACAATACTGTTGAACTTGGAGTTGTAAAACCATGAGGTCTTATGCCTCACCTTTTTCTCCCTTCTTTTGTACTCAGGTGGCTGGAGAAAGATATGTCTACAAGTTTGTTTGCGACCCTGAAGCGCTTTTCTCCATGGCTTTTCCAGACAACCAGCGCCCCTTACTGAAGACTGACATGGAGCGCCACATCAACGAGGAGGACACTGTGCCTCTCTCCCACTTTGATGAGAGCATGGTCTACATGCAGGACGGTGGCTGCTGCAACACCCACCCCTATAATGAAGGCTATGTCTATTAACAACAGTGACAGTGAAGGGGATATTTCCCCCCTCCTTTAGGCTTCTCCTCTTTCACAAGACCCAGAGGAAAGCTAAATCGACTTCAGTTTGTTTTTTAAATAGTACACTAAAAGGGGCTTTTCCTGTTGCATTACTCCTATGGTCTGCCATGGACAGCGCACTTTATTTGAAAGGGGAGGGTTGGAACCTAAATGTTATGCTATGTAACAGGAGGAAAAGGGTGGGTTTGCTTTTTACTTAAGTTTGGGAAGGGAACATACAAGTTTTAAGTACAAAAAAGCTATATCATGTCTGTTTTGTTTCATATCAGCATAAGATATTGTACATTTTCTCTCTGGGTATCCGTAGTACAGTTAATTCTCATTGTGCAAAATAACCACTTTGATGATGATATCAGCACAGCATGCCTCGGGCATTTGTTTCTTGCCATTCTTAATTGTCTTTCTGCAATTCTAAAAGAGAAGCAACGCATATACCACAGCATTTAATTTAGAAGCTTGCAGTGGCAGACCTTGCACCTTGCCTCTGAAAACATCTATCTCAAGAGTTTTTCTTTTTTTTTCTCTTTTTTGTTGTTATTTTTTCCTTTTTTTTTCCTTTTTCTTTTTTTAATGGACTCCTAGAAAGGTTGTATGACCCCAAACAACTCTTATTTAATGACCAAGTGACCATAAGTACAGTGACCAAGCAGGAAAATCTCTGACTACATACTTGAAGCTGCATGACATATCTGGTGCCATGTTGCTATACATATGGACTATGCTATGGCTTAGACCTTTCAAGATCCATTTGAGGGTAATAATTACATGTGGTAGGCTTTCTGATGATCATGTCAGCATTAAATACAGGATCATGATTGGGAGGGAGAAAACATTTTCTATCCTTCCATTTCCTTTGGTACATAAATAAGTTATTTAATCAATAGGAATTAACTGTACTAAGTCACATATCTAATTATGCTGTTTAGACACAGCAAGCACTCCTTCAGAAAAATATCCAATACACTAAATAGGTACTTTAGTAATTTTTAGACATGGTACCCATTAATATGCATTTAAACCTTTTACTGCTGTGTTATGTTGATAACATATATAAATACTAGATAATGCTAATGCTTCTGCTGCTGTCTTTTTCTGTAATATTCTCTTTGATGCTGAATTTACTATGACCATTTATAAGCAATGCTGTAACTACAGGTAGCATTTCAGGACAAAATAGATGACTTGAACCATTTATTGCTTAGAAAGTAGCTTACACCATAGCTGTGCTATAAGCAGCTTTTATGCGCATCCACAAATGACTAGTAAGCTTCAGCTTGCTAAGGAAAGCTCTGCAGAACCTTTTGTAATTTTCGGTGGAACGGAGGCTTAGATGAACTGTCAAACAATACCATGAAGTCGCTGTATGACATTGTAGTGCTGGCACTGATGTTACCAATCAACTTGTTTTGGACACTAAACGTAAATGTGGTCAGATATGCTCAGAAGACAATTTAAATTTTGAGGTTGTTCTTTTTTTCTTGGGTTTTTTTTCAAATTTTTTTTTTTTGTTCACAAGCCACACGTACTCTCATATATGTAGAATGAAAAGGAAAAAAACCAGCCCTGACAAAACCTTGAAAGTTTTAACTATTTATGAGCACCTTTTCTGAAATATAGTATTTCCTAGTTTGAAGGGAGGGAGAGGGGGTAAGGTCTTGATTTCTTTGTTTGTGAAATTTAAATAGGTGTTACATGGAGTAATTCATTTTCCAGTATTCCCAAGAAGCTGGAGTAAAATGAATGCATAGCCATAAAACAACGAGAATAAGTTACATCATAATGGGTAGATTTCAAAGACAGTCTTAGGTGGTGGGTTAATTTTCCATCCTCTGTCAGTTAAGAGACCAGTTAAGCTATGAATATTTTAATATGCAGTTAATTAAAAAAGTAATGGTCACTAGAAACCACAGGTGCATAAAAATATTTGGGCAGGTATTTAATTTACTCAGATCTGTAAGGCAACATATTTTATGGGAGTGTATATATGCCTTAATATGTCATCTAATTCCGTCATCTGTAAGTCTCAGTGGCACTTAAATTTTCAGTGATTAACCCAGAATCAGAAGTCTGAAATTGCAGAATTAGCAAAAAGGAAAGGGAAAAGGTTGAGTAAGATTGTTTAAAACGATGTGGTTTCCATTGAAATAAGGTTCGAATGAAACATGCTTTGATGAAAAGTCTTTGTATTGGTTTTGGTTCTTTAATGTCAGCATGGAGCACCTCTTGCCTGTGGCAGGATGTGGGTATTTGGGAAAGGGGTTGGATAAAAAAAAGAAAAAAAAAAAGGGAAAAAAAGAAAAAAAGAGGAAAAAAATGCATCAAATGTGTAATATTTAAGAGGAAATATATATATATCTGTATATGGTAGTGACTCACTGAACAAAGCAAGCAATCAGACCAACATTACATGATCTCTCAGCAGAAGATACAAAAGTCTTTCAATGAACTGATTAACCCTTTTTAAAATGTACCTAAGAGGTTTATTTAAAGTCTGGTTTTATTCCACTTTTTTGTTTGTTCGGGTTTTTTTTGTTTTGTTTGTTTGGGGTTTTCAGGTAGAATAATAAATCTGGCAGCTGATTTCTGCAAGACTGTTGTGTATTGGATTCCTGACCATTTGGACTGGAGAGGCCCCTGCAGTAAGGTTTTGCTTTTGCAAGAAGAGATGATGGCTTGTTCCCAGTGTCTAGAATGGCTTCCTGCAAAATGTAACCCCCCCCCAAAAGAAGTGAGGAGTATGTACAATCGTGCATATATATATGAATTATAGCCAGGAATTAGATTGCCAAAGGCTTGTATTTGACTGGCGAAAGGGAGGAGGATGTAGAGAAAGACTGATTTGGACCAAGACCACTTACACGTTTTCATGGGGCATTTTAATATCCTACTGAATTTGAATATGGGGTGTTTGGGGCTGGGGTGTGGGTGCTGGGTTTTCTTTTGGTTGGTTGGATTATTTTTTTTTTTTGGTTTGTTTTCAAGCTGTGCTACAAGTGAAGGGAGGATGCAGCCTTCACCTCTGTTTTTAGGGGAGCTGTAGTGGAGTTGGTTTGTGTGTATTTGCATATGTGTCTTTCTGCTGGTCAGAGCAGTGAGCGACCCAGGTTACTAACACTGAAGCAAATCCAGGAGGCATCATACAAGACCTATGTACTGTGGTACGGCTATAGGTGCTCACGTTCTCTCTGCTATGACAGTCCAGTTGCACCAGTAGCTGAATGGAAGTGAAATTAGATAAGGACTTGGCAGATCCCCTCAGAATCCATTTGGGAGAGTTAAGAGTACAGGTTTTGGGCAATGCACAAATTTTGCTTTAGGGGTATGACCTTCATGACAAGAGAGCCATAAGCCTTTTCTCTCAAAGGTCACACCAGTCTAACCTTCCCACATGCCAACTACATTTAAGCACTGTATTCTCTGAAAGTGTGAGTTTCATATGCTTGTCAGACGAAATCTGCCTGCTGTGGTAACTAGGGAAAACTGGGATAGTGCAACATTAAAGATTGTTTTCTTCAGTAATTCCCTGCAGAGAGTCCTTTGCTCAGAATCTTTTTGTCTTTGGGATTCTCTGATACATGGGACTATTCCCCAGGGGTTAGTGCTTAGCATTTTATTGCCCTCCCTGGTTTGGGCTGTAAATCCATTTTCACAGAGACAACATCATCTATTATATATTTCTGCCTTGTTCGCATTTCTTTTTTTATTGGGTTGGGTTTTGGGGGTTTTTTTGCTTGTTTGTGAAGTGGGTTTTTTTTTTGGGGGGGGGGGTGGTGCGGGATGTTTTTAATAGCAGTAAAGAGACCAATGTGTACAAAAGGTGAGGAAATCTTTGAATTGTTAATGGCTGTACCTTCCCTCTAGAGGGTGTTATCTTCAGTTCATGTAATACACCTAACAGCACCCATGAGCAGCCATATTCAGCGTTGACATTAATAGCACTGAGGACTTCTACAAATAATCTCTGTCAAAGATGTTTTGGGAGTCTAAATTAATATATCTTACATTCTAAGAATCATTACTCTGAAGTATCCCACTTGGATCTAGTTTTAAGAGCCTAGCAGATCAATTCTTCAGTTCTTTTACCAGCTGTTTGGGGATTTTTCTTTTGGTTGTGTGTGTGGGTTTTTTTTGTATTTTTTTAATCAGAGGCTACTCTGCTTGGAAAGGAGGTAGCAGGTGCCCGTGCCTCAGAAACTCCACTTTAAAGTCCCCTGTTTTGTTAAGACTGCAGGCTCAGAACTGAAGCATCTGCAATACGTTACTGAGCCCTGCCCTCCTTGTTCTCTTAGAGAAGAGGGAACTACAGTCTTCTGTTGCTTCCACTGCAGGAGTGGTAATCTCTGGTAGAGCAGCGGGATTCCCAGAGGAGGGCCATGAAGATGATCAAAGGGCTGGAGCACCTCTCCTATGAAGACAGGCTGAGATAACTGGGGTTGTTGAGTCTGGAGAAGAGAAAGCTCCAGGAGACCCTAGAGAGCTTTTCAGTGACTAAAGGTGGCCTACAAGAAGGCTGGAGAGGGACTTTTTAGAAGGGTATGTGACAGGGCAAGAGGGAATGGCTTTAAGCTGAAAGAGGGTATATTTAGTTTAGACATTAAAAAAAAAATAATCTTCACTTTGAGAGTGGTGGACTGTGAACCTATGGCACAGATTGCCCAGAGAAGCTGTGGCTGCCCCATCCCTGGCAGTGTTCCAGGCCAGGTTGGACAGGGCTTTGAGCAACCTGGTCTAGTGGAAGGTGTCCATGCACATGGCAGGGGGTGGAATTAGATGAGTTTTAAGGTCCCTTCAACCCAAATCATTTTGCGATTCTATGATTTTAGAGCTACAAGATTTCTCAAAGGATGCCTGTCATATCTCTAAGAATCATAAATGCATCAGCAAAGTGCTGTACCTTACTGCCCAGCTTTCGTAACTGCGTAGGCAGGTGAAGTTAACTTCATCTTTTACTTCAGGAGGTTGAAATATTGGTTTCTCCCTTGAAATACCAATATAATTTCTGTGGGAAGGAAATATCTGTGCCATCTTCTTATGTAATGATGTGAAAATGCCTATGAAGAGTCTCACTGACATTTTCCCAAAGAACTATTTTTGAGTGAAAATGACACAGCAAACGTCACCAAAGAAGGGATAAAGAAACTCCTAGAAGGTATCCATACATCTTGTTCTCCAAAACTGTAGTGTTATTTACCCTGGAAACGAATCTGGTCTTTAATACTGCTGCAGTATTCTCCTTAATACATACTTTCATTGGATTGACCTCAAATATACACAGCATGCCCTTACGTTCTTTTTTTTTTTTTTTTAAATGAGCTTCCTACTGACAATAGAGGCTACATGAAGGTACCCCTGAGGCAGGGTCACAATCAAGCATTTGGGTCTGGGAAGCCATAGGTCTGCGTCTTTGCTCTTGCAAAAAGCTCTTCTACCCATGTCCATGATTTTTAGTTGCATGGTAGAGAGATAATTGCAGCTTTGTAAGTTTTGGGTTTGTTTTGTTTTGATCTTTGTTAGTTTCTCAGTAATAGTTA